ATTTTCCACTAACGCCCCTATCTTTTATTTAAAGACAAACCATGCTAAAAAAAAAAAAAAAACGCAACAAACAATAGACTAGGCTTGATTCTAGAAATATTGTATATCAAAGTTATGTTCAGAGATTTTTTTAAAATTTAAGATTAAGCTCAGCTGAGTCTGAAACCTTAGCTCTAAAAAGCTCAATACCCAAAAAAGAATTACCTGCGCAGTACCAAACTCCCTTCTTGCGACTTTTAATAATTGTTATTTCTGAACCCTAGTTATTAATCAAAGGCATCCGAAAACCCTTAAGAAATTACTTGAGTCAGGAAAAAACTTTTTTAAAAAAAGGTTGACTTTAATATAGAAGTATGCAAACCTTCACAATTTGTTGCTTTTGGAAATACTTTCAAAGTATTATAAAGAGCTGGGCATCAGATCACTACCTATATGGGCATATTAGATAGCTACTTTCTGTTAAAAATTGTTTGTAGGAGGCTTTTATTCTTTGCTGAAATTCAAGTTTGTTTATCTGTTGATTCAAAACTTTGATTTTTCTGACTCTGACTCCTTTTCACATATAACTAGAATCTAGTTTACACACAAAATAGGTATTTTATTGTCTTACTTAAAAATAAAAGTTTTGACCAACAATGTAAAACTTACTCTTAAAAGCCATCTTCCCAAATTTAACTTTCAACTTGATTATATGCACAGAAAAAATACTGAACAGAGAAGTGTCATTTAATTTGGCTACAAACCAGAAGTAAACACAAGTGAAAATGATGACAAGGCCCCCAAGATCTATATGAATTTGGTGACAATGAAGTCTCCTAATGTGGAAGACTCTATCCTGGCTTTATGAAATTCTGAAGACAGAATTTGCCTTTCTGGACACAATTCATTGATGGGCCAATGTTTTTCAACACAAACCAATAAATATCTACCCAGTTATAAAAACAAAGTAATGGTGTCATATAAAATGAAACTAACACAGCTAGCTCCAGGCCCCAAAACTTGCAAGCATCATTAGCAATTTAAAGCCAACTTCCACAACAAGCACTAGAAGTGGTGTAAGAAACTTCCTTTACCAATTTATAAGTAGCAGCTGGCATTTCTACGCATCATCCTCTAGGATCCTAAAATTTGGTTTTTAATCTACAGTATTTTCTACCTTTGCTCTACAACCACAGGGAAAAGGGTGTGGAGGGGGGGATAAAAAACCAAGAAATTATGAATATATGGATATGCATGATTTGGACAAATTTACCAGCGTTATTTTTTTCATTAGTTCCTCATCTAACTCCCTTTCCTGTACTAACATGTGCAAACAACCATACCTTTTTGCTATAGATTTCAGAATGAATTACAGATTAGGAAGGATGTCATGATCATATTTTGATTATATGAATCAGAAAGGCTCAAAGAATGAATTGTACATCAGAGATTGGAAATGCACTCATCTCCCACCTCAGGTGGGCAAAACCACCAGTGAATTTGTTCACTGTCATCTTTCAAGTATTCTTTGGAGGTCACAGAACCTACTAAAAAAACCTGTGCTGTATGTACTAAGGATCAACAGTAATACACCACACATTATTCTTTTTTTAATGGAAGTAGAATCTTCTGAGGCGACTCAGAATTAATTTTTAAACACAAAACTAAAAAGTTAAATTGTCATGGGGAATATGTTTGCTAACTTATTTTCAGGAATAAACATTTGGACAACATAGTTATAGCCGGACAAAAAGCATTATAGTATTTAGTGAACTTCTCCCCTTTTTCTCTAAAGTGTAACCATATAAAATATGCTTTTAATTACTTATAATGGCTGATAACCTTCTTTTGCTTTAAATATTTAAGTCTACTCCCTCATTTTCTTAAAATAAAATAAACAAATGCAATATTTAACATAGGCTTCCTCAAATCATTCATCTTCCTTTTAAATCCCAAAAGGGAGCAGTCCTCTATTAGGACTAAATGAGTTCATGTTTGTTATGAAAACCTGCAAGCAACAACTGAAAATAGCGCAGTCAGCACAGGGAATTCCTGAAAGTGTGATGGTGCATCAAAAGGCTAGCAACTCCGTTCTGATAGAATAATAAAAACCATTTAAAGGACTGTAAATTCAGCACCAATGGCGTTTCCGGCAGGAAAACATTTCTAAAATTCCACCTCCAGTTCATTTTTTCCTGACGAAGACCAAAAGACCTCCTATCTAGATAGCTATCTCTTGCAAATATTTCCATTTCATGCAAAATGGAAATCAGTCAGTAGGATAAAAAGTCAAGATAATTCTTTTTTTTTTTTTTTTTTTGCTTAGAACTTAAGCGGTTTCATTTGTTTGGGGAGAAAAATGTTAATCATGAGGCAAAAAGAAAAATATGCTTACTATTCCAAAAGCAAACTTTAAAAACAAATTTTCTTTTTTAGCAATTCTTCTGTGAGCATGTTAAGTTCATGAGTGCCAATGAACATAAATTGTAAAACAGTATACAATGCTAGTTTTTACAATGAAAAATAAAATATCCCACAAGTCTAGTGATTCATGTATTTTCTTTTAAGCCCATCAAGCTGCCAAAAGTTCCCGTTGTATTTTCAGCAAAAAGAAAATATTTGTTAAAAAAATTTGTAGCACTAACTTGGACTGATGTAAAATATTAAAGCCACCTTAGCCTAAATGCACTGCTCCATAACATTCTTGTTAATGCTTCTGACCAACTGAGGAAATGAGACTATGAATGGGAAATCTGATTAAGAGTTAAAATTACCATTGAGTTCTTTAAAATGTACTAATGAATAATTAATAACAAAAGCAGTCCTTAGGCTTCCCTTACAACAATATTGTTCTCAAGTAGAATTGAAAATAATAGCTGCAGTAAAATCTGTCTTCTACATTATACGTACAGGTGGGCACAGCAAGTATTCACGCATAGGAAGGCATTATGGAAATATACACGCTAATATGGGCTATAAGATCTGGGGCTTGGGCAAAAAAAAATCAGCATGGTAAATTTTAGATCAGGATTTACAACACTCACAAATGAATACCAAACCAAATCCTCACACAAACTAGCTTAAAAAGTCAAAAGCATTAAAGAAATCCTTTGTTTCTGTGATACTGTCTCCTTCTACCCTAACTGGATTCCAGCCTCATCCTTTGTGACACGGAATTTTATTGATCTCAAACATGTTCACATTCAGAAATTAGTCTCCAACGACACCCCTCAGGGTGGCTAGCCACCTAGACACCACACATCATACACATCTTTTTTAAAGGGCGATCTGAAAACACATCACAATTTGATCAGTAACATCAAGTGAAGTTAACCAAGCTCTCTTCTAAACAGATTTTTCCTTTTAGTAAAAATACCAGATCTACTGAATTAACAAACGTTTGATGAGTTACTAAACGTACAAAGGCGCAGATCCAAACCAGGATCTCTCCCCTCTCTAGCTACTCACTCATTCAGGAGCTGAGCGCCTAAGTGACCTATTTTCAGGTTACTTTCCTCACACCTGCCAGGTCACTGTCCTGATTGAAAAACTTCTTGCTGATGCAATTAATTTTTAGTGCCTCCTAACTGTCCCGGGTGTTTGCATTCAATTTGAAATCTGTTACTTGTTAGACACTGCTCGGTCCTAGATCTTTCAGAGAATTGCGAGTTTATGGCGCAGAGAGGGGAGGAGGCACGGATCTCCGAGAGCCTGCCCTTTATTCGGAAATGAGGAGATGTGAAAGGTGGAAAGCAGGGCAAATAAATAAATAAATCGGGTTTGCTGCCGGAGCGTTTGCCTGCCGGTATGAGCACCCTTTGTAATGCAGGCCTCCCGGGGCTATCGCCTGCGCTAATTGCTCCAGGGCGCTTTCCAAGTTCAAAAGTTCACCTTTTACGACCTCACAAAAGCTCCTTACACGTTACCAATAAAAACATTCCGCGGCAAACACCGAGTAGGAAAATATCAAACAGATACAAATAAAACACCCTGCGGGGGAGGGAGCGAGGGGGAAGAGGGAGAGTAAGCCCCGAGGAACCTGAGGACCTGGCCGGGGCAGGGGGCAGGGGGAGAGCGGTAGATAGGGCCGGACCAGGTGAGGAATTCTCAGCGCCCGCGGTCCGGGGTCGGGAAGGGGAAAACGAGAACCGAGGCTGGGCAAGTGCAGATCAGGACCGGCCGGCAGAACCCGAGCCCCGGGTCGGTCCAGACACCTGACCCCCCAAAAGTCGTCGCCTAGCTGAGCAGAAGCGGAGGCAGGCAGGAGGGCGAGGGGCGTCGGGCAAGGTGAGGCGCTGGGGAAGGAGCAGCCATGAAGAGCTCCAAAAAAGGAAACGATGAGGGGACAGCTAACGAAGTGGGGGTCCGGCAGAGGTCGGGAGCTCGAAGTACTAAGGGAAGAAGCGCGGAAATGCAGAGAAGGAAAACGCTCTAGAAAGTAAGGAGTACCAGGGTGGCGTGGAGTCGGGTCGGCAGGGAGCGCCTGCGAAGGGATGAGGGACCCGCGGGAGAGACCGGGGGCTCTGCCCAGAGGGCACTCCAGAAGGAGGGGATGCCCTCGGTGACGGGCTGTGGGGGGATCCACGCTGAGGGGACCCGGGGGTAAGGGAGGACTCCGTGCAGAGAAGACGCGGGGAAGGGGGAGGAGAGGGGTCCGAACTGAGGGGACCAGCGGGAGAAGGGAGGATTGGAGCTGCGGGGATGGCGGGGGAGGGGAGGCCTGTGACGAGGGGACAGGCGAGCAGGCGGGAGGGGGAATGAAGCCAGTGCTGAGGGAACCGGGCAGGGGGAGGGTCCGCGCTGAGGGGAACGGGCAAGGAGGGGGAGGGCCCACACTGAGTGAGTCGAGGGAGGAGAGGGAGGGTTTGCGCTGAAGGGGACCGGGGTGAAGGTCCACGCTGAGGGGCCGCCGCGCCGCTGCAGCTTCCCAGCGCGAGAGTTGGCTGAGAGGAAGGGGACCCCCGGTGGAGGGACAGGAGGCCGGTTCTCAGTGGCCCGGGCTGTGCAGGCCCCTCACCCACCGTTGCGCGGCGGCGGAGGGAGCGCAGCGGGCGGCTCCAGGAACCCCGCCGAGCCCCCGCCGCCTCCCCCTCCGCTAGGCGGCCGTTCGTCCCGCTCCATGCGGTGGTGCTCAGGGCCCGCGCTGGGTTCGCTGCTCCGCCATGACCCGCGCCCTCGTCGTCTTCGTCGTCCGCCGGGGGGAGGAGGCTGTCAGGGGCCGGCGGGCTCTCGGTTGCGGCGCTCTCTGGGCCCAGAGCAGCCGGGCTCCGCGCCCCTCCGCGCCGCGCCCCCTCAGCACTGGCCAGCTCCCTCCCCTGACGTCACGCGCCGCTGCCACGCACGGCCCTGCGGTGCACGCTGGGAACTGGAGTCCGCCCGGCGAGGCCGGCCACGCGGGACTCCACCAACTGAAGGGGTGGCGGGAAGGAGAAGCAGCCCTGAGAAGAAAAAGTTAAAGCCTGCCACTATCAAAAATCATAGTAAGACTTCTGATAAATATTTAATAAATTGTTATTTCAGGGCTTTCTCTTTATTGTGATTTACCCATGGTGGAAACTCCCTACGACTCCTCGTAACCCCCCGCACCAATAGTGAGTCTTCCCAAGGAGGAGGATCGCAAAGGAGCCGGGTGGCCACGTGCAACGAAGCCCAGCCCTGTGGGCGGGGCCCAGGGAGGCGGGGCTTGGAGGTATTCACGAGGGCCTTCCTCCGCGGCTGCGGGACAAATTGGACCCAAGATTAAAGGACAGGAGTTTAACTCGAGGTGACTGCGTTCGTATGCAAATGGAATCTATAAAACTCAGCTTTCCTGGGTACTCTTTAAAGCCTTTTACCTCCGGGTGGGCGGGAAAGACTAAAGTTTCTCTTCCTCCGGTTTCATTTTTCCCCTGCCCATAGAACAGATGGGCAAACTAAGCTCCAGGCCATTGATGCCATTAAAGAAAGCCTCAGGCTCTCGACTTCAGGTGTCTTTAAGCCCTCCATTTAAGAGTGGCCCCTTACCCAGCCTTGTTCGCCTTCCCCTCTCCTCAGTTTCTCTATCTGTAAAATGGGGTTGATTCGAATAGGGGCAGGGTCCAATTGGAAGATCCCAAATGCTTCGTCCTCGGCCTCAGTTTCCCGAAGCTTTCCAGAAGCAAAATTGCGTGTTTTGTAGCGTCTCCGCTGCTCCCGGCTGAGCCTGCCCCCCGCAGCCACAAGGTGGCGCGCGGCCACCAGTCGCTGGGCCTACGGGGTGTCCGCCTTCTGCGACCCCCTCAGGGAAGGACTCTTCGCGGCTGCCGCCCAGGATCTAAGCCCTACCTAGCCTGCTTGCAGACAAAGGACAAGAGCACTGGTGCTTTGCCCAGATCTGCTCTGCCGGGTTATGCCACAGCTTCATCACTGGCCGCTCCTTCGCCCTCCCCACCCCACCTGCCCCGCCAGTCCTGTGGTTCCTGTGTGTCATTTTGCTTAATTTTAAGCCTCATCCTGGCGTTCCTATCCCTGCCTGGTCTGGCCCCTTCCCTCACCTGCTACGCAGGAGGTTTTACAACACTTCCCTGCATTCGCGAGTGGCTGTACCTTACCAACACTAGTTCCCTGTATTTCATCCTTAATCTGTGTGGGCCACTGTTCTGAGCGATTTACGTTAATGCTATGTCCTCTAAACCTCATATCTGCTCTGTAGGGTAGCTCCAGTATTGTCCCTATCATACACTGATGAAATCACCCAGGAGTGGCGGAGATTCCAACTCCAATCAGTCAGACACCGGAACCTGAACCTTTGGTGCCTTCAAGGTCGAATACCGATGACTTCACCCAACCCACTCCCAAACACCTATTCATGGTTCATGATCCTGTTCAAATATTTCTTCACCTTCCTTAATACCTCCCACTAAGGGACAAATAGATCCCTTCTGTGTTCCCACATGGCTCTGTTGAGCTCTCTTTGGACTGTAAGAAATGATCTCTCTGTGATTGCCTCCTTGCTACCATTCCTGAGCCACTGAGGCAGGCAGCTCTCCCAAAGGCAGGGAGCGATGCTTCTGGAGCTAGCCTCTATGACTAGGAGGGAGAGCCCTTAGCTTTGGGCGGAGGTGGAAGGCAGAGGAGATGGATCCTTTGGGCCATTTCCCTCAGCTCTGAGTTCTAAAATATGTCAGGACCACATGGCCAGAATTTCTGTTTTTATCACATGCCTCTGGAAGTAGTGAGTTCCCTTTCCCTAGAGATCCAGTCACAGTCTAAGTGGCCCCACAGATAACTCCTGCAGCCCTGGGTTTTCGGTGGTGTATGAAGATTCTAAGTCAGCCCTCATACATGGGCAGAAGAATTCAGCCAAACAGCCCCTGGCAACAACTCTTCCTCAAGCTTCAGCAGACTACAGCTCTGTTTTCCCTTCCTTTCAAAAGCCTCCCCAGATCACCCTGGCAAGCCAAATCCCTTTATTCTCACTCTTATCATTGTAACCCCAACTGCTGAGCACAGGGCCTCCACACAGGAGACACACAGTAAATAATTGCTGACTGGGTGAAAGAACAAATAAAAACAGACCTAGCTTTTTTGCTTAATAACCATGTGACCTTGGGCATGGTACTTCTGAGCCTCAATGTCCTGGCTTCTAAGAGGGGACGGGTAACAACGATAGTTACTACCTGGCAGGAATGTCATGAGAATTAAATGAGATGTTGCATGCAAAGCAATTAATATAAGATCTGGCCTAATAAATGGAACCTGTTAATAATGTTTAAAGAGTGGTTCTAAATCCCAGATACCACTCTTCGATCCACTTTCTGAAAATGCTTCTGGGAATAGTCAAATACCACAAAACTGAGACAAGCAGAGGAAATGACTCTGTACTGGGACCCCAGCCACTGCCCTAACCATGTAGGGTCCTATGAGGTAGGCACCCACTTATGAGTCTACTATGGGGCCTTTTCTCTAATTTCTCTGCATTTCTTCCAACAATTCTGAGAAGTCAATACTTTCCCCCTAATTTACAAATGAAGAGGCTCAGAAAGATGCAAAAGACTCCTACCACCTATAGGACTCAAGACAGAAGAGCTGAAAAGAGAAGTATCTAAGGATTAGTAGGGAATCTGAGGGGAAGTGTCCTAAAGCCAGAGGCAGGCAGACAGACAGGACCTGACAGGGGTACAGCTAAGAACAAGGCAATAGAAGTTTCATCCTGGGGGCTTTTCAGGGGTGGGGAACCTGCAGGCTTAAGACCACATGTGGCCTTCCTAGGTCCTTAAGTGTGGCCTTTTGGCTGAACCCAAGTTCTACAGAACAAATCCTTTTATTAAAAAGGGGTGTAGCAGAGAAAGATAAAGCTTTTTTTTGCCTCCTTTAGTGGTTAAAAAAAAAAAACACAGTCTTGAAATCAGGAGGCTTCAGGCAACCCAGCCCTGCTTGCCCATAAGTGCTGCAATTGAGAACACCCTTAGAAGTTCCAAGTGCTATGGGAATGTTGGTTAGGGCTTGTTCTAGTTGGGGCTGCTGATCAGGGAGGCTTTCTGAGTTAAGGAGCATTAAAATAAGATGGGAAAGATGAGTAGGAATGAGTCAGATTGAGTGGAGAGAAACAATCAGGTGGAAGGAACAGCATGTGCAAAGGTCTCAAGGGCTTAGCACTTTTGAGAAACTGACAAGCTATGGTGTCTGGAGCCCACTGAGGGGGAGAGGGGCAGCAGAGAAGGATAAAGAGGCAGCCAGAGGAGATGCTAGGGCCTTGTGGGCCAGCAGGGGGCAGAGTTCCTCAGGTGACACAGCAGCCTTGCTCTTCCATGGCCTGCCTGGAGAGTCAGAACTGGGCTGCACTTCGGAGAAAGGGCTGGGGAAGGGAACCCCTGCCTGATTCCATTTAAGTACATTTTTGTCTATTTTGTCTATTTTTTAATAGAATGGACACCGATTACAAAATCCACAGGATGCAGAAAAGTATTCAATGAAAATTCTCCTAACTCCAATTCCTGCCTACTGGATCCCCTCCTTAGAGATAACCATCATACCAGTGTATTGTGTGTCCTTTCAGAGATAGTCTATACACATAAGAACACACACAATATTTATTTTTTACACTAATCTATCCCTGGTTTTGACACCTGCCCAGGGGATCTCTAGTTACGAAAGAAGCTTATTTGTGCTGAATGCCTGCTGCACACATGACACTTCAATTCAGCTGACAGTTATGAAGCACCAGACCTGGTGCTAGGTCAGTAGTTCTCAAACCTTAAACCTCCTGGAAGGCTCTTTAAAACACAGATTGCACTCCCCCCACCTCCCAGTTTCTAATTCAGTAGGTCCGAGGTGGGGCCTGAGAATTTGCATTTGTAACAAGTTCCCAGGTGATGCTGAGGCTGTCAGCCCAGGGACCCCACTTTGAGAACCACTGAGCTAGCTGCGTATGGTGAGAGACTAGGTATGTATACCGGTGGCCTTATTTCTTTCCACCAGGGAAAGCATGCCACACACAAGGAAACACAGATACCACCGAGAAAGACAGCTCCATTGAGCAGTAAGTCCTGTGAAGAAAATGAAGTGGGGGAGTTCTTGAGGGGAGAGTAGGGGTGAGTGGAAGCAGAACAACACTTAGGGCACAAGTAAGTGTTCTTTTTTGTGTAGTTGAGGTTTACAAGGTGGTAAACATACCCAAATGGAGCTGTCTTGGGCTCAGGGGAGGGGATACCTGCAGTGGCAGGTGGAGAGGGAAGAGAAGGGGGTCCAGCGCCCCAAGCTGCTCAGAGGAGGGGCTGCAAAGGAGGCCGGAGAGGAAGTCCTGGGGAAACAGGGAAACCAGGAGAGGAGAAGGTTTGAGAAGGGGGCCTGCCCTAGACCTGATTCCGGGGGGTGGAGAGAGGCCGCCTTGGATTTGGCTACAGGGGTCCCGGGGACAGCAACAAGGCATGTGGGTGGAGTAACGAAGCCAAAGACCCCTGGAGTGAGGGGATGCACGGGGAACCAGGGGAGCAGACGACCACAGGCGGTTCTTGGTTCTTTCGGAAAGTTTTGCTGCCCAGGGAGCAGAGAAATGAGACACTCCCAGGAGGACGGTGGCAAGAAGAGTGTGTTCAGAAGGTAGGAGCAGCGGTGTAGTGTCTCGCACCTGTAATCCCAGCACTTTGGGAGGCTGAGGCGGGAGGATCGCTTGAGCCCAGGAGTTGGAGGCTGCAGTGAGCTATGATGGCGCCACTGCACTCTGGCCCGGCAAAAGAACGAGACCCTGCCTCAAGAGAAAAGAAGCTACCGGAGTTTGGTTAGGAGCTCACTGGAGTGCTCCAGGAGGGAGAAACGGAAGATGGGAGACGCGGGAGAGGGGCTGGTCCGTGAGAAGGTCCCGGGGAGAGAAGGTGGCTTCGGGGAGAACAAGGGCTCACCGCCCCTGGAAACATCCCTCATCTGAACTTCACAGCCCCTCCAAACTGAGAGCTCTGTTTTCCTCATTCCTCACATATGAGGAAACTGAGGCTCAGCGAGGTGACGGGAGGGACACGCCTAAGGTCCCACATCTCCTAGAGCCCCACCCGCCCCGCTGCTCCTGCGGGCTCGGGCGAGACCCTTTCCTGCCGGCGTGCAGGGGTGCCCTCCGGCAGGGCGCCCCACGGCGGGGCCCGGCGGAGCGCGGCGGGGCGGGGCGGGTGCCCCCTCCGCCCTAGCTCCGCCCCCAGCGGCGCCGGAGAGGGCGCGGGGCGGGCGACAGGGGCAGGCGCGGGGCGCTCCGGGCAGGGGCAGAGCTGGCGGCGGCACAGAGCTCGCAGTGCGGCCCGCGCTTCCCAGCGTCCGTGCCCGGCCGCCTGTGCCCGCCGTGCCATGGCCGCGGCCGCCCTCGCGCCCCGTCCGCTGGCCCTGCTCCTGCTGCCGCTGCTGCTGCTGCTGCGCGCCGGCCCGGTGCGCGCTGACAGTAAGGTACGCGCGCCCGCCACCCGCTGCGGCTCGGCGGGGAGGCGGGCGCGAGGGGGCGCTGTGGCTGGGGGTGGAGGCCAAGGAGGATGCCCAGCGGCCCGGCGCGGGGGACCCAGGAGACGGGGCGTCTGGACCTGGGACTTAGCACAGAAGCCACAGGGGCCAGGATGGGGGAGAGGAGCGCGCGAGGGAAGGACCGCTGGAGATAGGGGTGCTTGGGACCGGGAGCCTGAGGAAGGGATGGTGGGACCCTGTCCGATTCGTGGAGGTCCACCCTGGGCCAGGGAGGGTGTGCCCAGGAGCGCTGGGCAGGCTCAGTTTCCATGGGAGGCTGACGACATGAGGGCAAGCCCCTGGGCAACTGTTACCCAGAGACTCCTGGCTTGCGCCAGGCTCTGGGCCAAGGCTTTCAGGCAGTGCTGCGGACCCAGAGTCCTCCTCCCCCCACAAGGAACCCAGCTGGGCTGGCCACTCACATAGTCTCTGATGCTTTCGCCAGGGTTCAGGTGCACCCTCTGGAGGACTAGATACTTCCAGAAGTGACCTGAGCTGTCCTCTGCTTTGGCTAAGTGGATCTGCTCAGGTGCCACGCAGACCTGGGTTCAAATCCCACATCTGCTTCTCAGCTGGTGCCTTCACCTCTGTGAGCCTCCATTTATTCACCTGTGGATATGGGAAAAATAAAAGTACCCACTCCCTGCAGTTGATGGTCTCTAGATTTGGTTGAGATCATGCCAGTAAAATATTTAGCACCACCCCTGGCACCTGGTATGTGCTCAATAAATGATCTTGTGATTATGGAATCTTATCGCAGGGACCCCAAAAGGGGCTGTGAGGTCCGTAATGTAGAGAGAGCAGGCCTTTAGCATCAGTCAGAACATGGACCCCTACAGGGTGTTCTGGAAATGACCTTGTGAGGAGGACTGGAGGGCCCTGCTCAAAGAGCATGAGGGCAAAAGAGTGACTTTGCTCAATGTCTCTCCAGCCTCTTTCCTGGTAGGTGAGTGTCCTGCCCATGGGCAGATAAAGGGCAGAATCCACTAGCCACACCGTAGTGTATGAGTAGTGGGTCCTGCAGACCCTCAGCCTGAAGATTCAGCTCAGGCCATGAAAATGCCCATGTGCAGTCCTGACTGTGTACTCCAGAGACCAGGAGGGAATGAATGAGCATTGTTTCCATTTTACAGATGGAAAAACTAGGGTGTTTAGAGAGGCAGCTGGCTTGTAAACCAAAAAACCTAGGTTCTGGCCTTCTGCTATTTGTTTGCTGTGTGACCTTGGGCAGCTCACTGCCTGTCTCTGGGCTTCAGTTCCCCCATCTGAGAAACAATGTCTCCCCAACCTTCCTTCCATATGAGGCCCTCTGAGATTCCTAATCTGGCTCAGGCAAGAGAACAAGCGAGCAGAAAATCCCAGATAACCTGCTCAGCGCTTCGTCACCTCTTGTATCTTAGGCTGGGAGGGACATTTGGTGTTGGGCATCCTCTAGGCTGTGCAGAGAGGGCTGTTGAGCTTGTGGGGGAGGGTTCACATTCAAAACAAAGCAAAGACAAAGAAAACCCAACACCCTGTTTATGTAGTGAGTCAGCCAAACACTTGCTAGGTTTGGGGGGAGGGGTTAGTTGTCCCAGGGCAAGCTGGGGCTGGTGGGGTGGGGAGGCACAACACAGAGTTTGGAGGATGAAGCAGCCAGGGGACTGAGCACAGCCCTCCCCCAAACACCTCCCACCCCTGCACCACTTCAGCCAGCTGGGAAAAATAAAAATCAAGTGATGGGTGAATTTACTCTGCATTCCTTAGCTCAGCCAGACTCCTGCTGGCTCTGCGGAGAGGAGAGAGCTGTTTTCATTATCACCCGCTCCCTCTCCTTTAACAACCCCTCCTTCCTCCCAAGCCCTTCCTATTTTCCCTGGGGTGGAGGATGAGCCCTTCAGAAGGCCAGCCTGGGACTTAAAGTAGATCTAGGGCCCTAAAGAGTTAAGTTGGCCCCTCCTCAGGCTTCCTGTTCCTGGGAGGCCCAGTCTCCCCTCAGGCGCAATACATTCAGGGGTACAGAGGCAGCTCACCCCCAGGACTCTATTGGTCTCCTCAGCCAGCCCCTTGTTCATCATGTTTTCATTCCATGTTTATAGCAAGGTCTCTCCTAAAGTGGATTTTGAGTGTCCATCTAAGGAAGTGCTTTGTCCAGACCAGGAGTAGGAGGGGGACCTCACAGCTTCCCTGGTATTTCTGAAGGCTGCCCAGCGTGGAGGCTGGGATAGACAGACAGGTGACCACGTGACACCCAGAGACCTCTGGGAACCTGCTTTTTGCTTCACAGCAAAAAGATGTGGCTGAGATGTGGCTGAGAATTCCCCATCTCTCCCTTGGTTTCCCTATCTGTGAAAGAGCTGCTGGTACCTCTGCGGGGAGGGGGTCTTTGGTCAGCCTGCTGACCAGGGGCCTGAGGACAGAGGGAAGGCCAAGACCTGTGGGACCCTGGCCAGGGAAGGAGGAGGGGCTGGAGCAGGCAGGCGGTGGTGTCAGGAGCTGGATCAGATGTTCCCAGTCAGGCTGGTCCCAGGGGCTTAGGTGTTGCTTTGCCTCCGCTCAGGGAGTTTCCGCCTGTGAGTGTAATTGGAAACAGGCTCGCAGTAGGCAAAGGCTGTATAGTGAAGGAGTCCTGCTTCTGCCCACCAAGAATGTGAGGCCAGCCCATGCCCCACCAGGGCCCTCTGCAGGGAAGGTCTTGTCCCAACACTCCCTTTAGCTGGGAACCCAGGACAAAACCCTGATGTGCCAAGCCCGTGTCCAGCACTTACATGCAGAATCCTAGAGAAGCCTTGTGGCAATACTCTGAGGCTTCAGTCATATCCCCCATTTGATGGACTTGAACACTGAGGCTCAAAAGAGTCAGGTTGGGGCTGCCCAAATATACTAAACAGAGGCAGCCTGAGGAGTTTGGAGGCTCCTGGAGCTCCAGGATTCTCAGCCTTTAATGGGCATCCGAATGGCATGGGGAGCCAGAGTCAGAATCATAGCTTGGAGTAGGGCCTGGACATATGCATTTTCCGAGTGTACCCCAGGTCATTCTGAGGCATGTCCCCCAGTTGAGAATTCATGGAAGTGATAGGGAGCTATGGAGGTTTGTGGAGAAAAGAGAGTAACAGATCACCAAAGAGGAGCTTTTGGCAGATTAATCTGACAGATAAGAAGCTGCTATATTGTCTAGGCAGCCATTAAATGTCACCAGAACCAGAGCTGTGGCCATGGAGTGGAGAGCAGGGAACAGAAATTGGAGATATTTAAGATAAAGAGAAGAACATGATTGGCAGGTTGTTCAGGGTAAGAGGGGAGCTCTGAGATCCAGGTTGGGCAGGAGGGTTGGTGGACACGGGTTTGGGAGAAGAGCCTCGGCCAGTCCGGGATGCCTTGAGTTTGGGGTGAGCACGTGCAGCCAGGGGAAGGTGTCCAGCTGGCAGTGTGTTCTAGGGGAGGTCTTTGCCTGTGGGAGATCGTGGAAATTTCCCCATGATGAGGCTGGGCTGGCCGTGAGAGAAGAGGGCAGACCCAACTTCAAGATGATACAATTTGAGCCTGTTCAGTTGCTAGATCATTTAGCAGCTTGAATGCCCTCTTCCCGACTCTAGCCAGATTTATCCATCTCTGTTCAGAAAAATCCCAAGTACACCCTCGTTTCACTGTGGGATTTCCTTGCAAATACCCCAGGACATTTTTAAACACAAACCACCCACATTTCTGGGGGCTTTGACAGGAGTGAGAGCTGAGCCAGGCTGCAGGGAAAGATGGGGGTGCCAAGGCAGGGACTTTCCTGCTTGGCAGCAACCCAAGCCTTCATGCCAGGGGCAGGGTGGGCCAGGCTCAGTGGGAGTGCCAAGTCCTGTGCCCCCAAGGGCCCCTTCTCTACAGAGCCATCTGCCCTAGCTCAGCTGCTCAGGGAGAAGCCCTTGCCTGGTGACTGTGGGTGGTCATAGGAGGGACAAAATGTAAACCAAATTTTGGAATCCAGCTGTGCCATGTGACCCTGGGCAAGCCCCTGTTCTTCTCAGATGCTCAGCTTTCTCCTCTCTAAGGTATGGGTGTGGTGACAGCAAACAGAGGTAGGAAAGGACGAGCAAATGTGAGGGAGAGCCACTAGCCAGGCTCTGTGCCTGGAGCTCTCCGTACATCGACTCTTTTCGGACCCATGACAATCTTATGAGGAAGGGACTATTATTCTCCCCATTTTGCAGAGGAGGAAGCTGAGGCTCAGAGGGGTCAGGGCCACGTGGGAGGAGGCGTGGGAGCTGGTATTTGAGCCCGGCCAGGCTCTTCACCATGGCACTCTGCTGCCTCCAAGTCAAGTGCCACAGGATGTAGCAATCCCAGGGGTAGGACCCTGCCTGGGCCCCTGGCAGCTGGGGATGGGAGCAGAGAGGCCTTCCTCCAACTCCTGGCCCATGTCAGGGCCCTGGCCGCTCCCTTCAGGAGGTAACACCTCATCTGAGAAGGGAAGGAATGTTGCAGTCTGATGTGGAGGCCGCTGCTGGCGGGGTGGGTGCTGGGTGTATGTGTGGGTCCCCATGTGCCTGGCCACACAGACCAAACCCACATCTACCTAATGGGCTCCTGACCCCAGCTGGGGCAGTGCATGGGGCTGGCAAGGGGTCCCAGCAGAACTGAGAAGGGGGTCCAGGAGACCTGAAGGGAGGGCAGGGTTAGGATCCTAGCGGAGACCTAAGGAATGTATGGGACCCTGCGCCTGACTGTCAGCGTTCCCAGGCAGGGGAGAATTGGCCCTCAGTGCTCAGAGTACACTTCACCCACAGACAGCCCAGGACAGAGTTTCCACCCACACCACCCTCCTCACCACCTGCTTTCCCTTGCTCCCTCGTAGGCTACTGAAAAAGCAGGGGCTTGGAAGTAAACCAAACCTGGGCTCATCCCCTTGAACAAGTCATTTGATGGCTCCAGGGCTCAGTTTCCTCTTCTGCAAGGCACTGTTGGCTGGGACACAGTGGCTCGTGTCTGTAATCCCAGCACTTCAGGAGGCCAAGGCAGGTGGATCACTTGAGGCCAGTTCAAGACCAGCCTGCTGAGCAATATAATGAGACCCCATCTCTCAAAAAATAGAAAAATTAGCTGGGTGTGGTGGCACGTGCCTGTAGTCCCAGCTACTCAGGAGGCTGAGGCAAGGGGATGGCTTGAGCCGAGGAGTTTGAGGTTGCTGTGAGCTGTGATGATGCCCCTGCACTCTAGCTCACCCAGGCAACAGAGCAAGACCCTGTTTGAAAAAAAAAAAAAAGAACACCGCTAAGAGTGTCTACCATTGTACCCATATGGAAAAACAAACAGCTAAACCTTCCCAAAATTATTGATAGTAATTATAACAGCTACAATATCCATAATGTCTGTGTGCTCCTGGCACCAGGCTGACTACATTACTGGTATTCCATGTCTCTGTCCTCATACAGTTCTTTGTTGGGTAGGCACTAGTAGCATCTCGTTTTATAGATGAGGAAACTGAGGCACAGAGAAGTTAAGTAATCCACCCAGCAGCACACAGCTGTCGGTGGCCTATGGCTACACTCCTAACCATTGCCCCGCACTCCCCAGCACTGAGTGAGTCTGCTCCCTGGGCTCTGTGCCCTAGACTTGCTGCCTCCATCCACCATCTGTCCATACAGCAGCTGGCCGGAGCTTCCTGTGACGCAGATCTAACCATGGTTCTCCCCTGCTTAAAGCCCTTCCATGACTCCCGAGTGTTTTCAGGAAGAAGCCAGGATCTCAGCCAGCTTTCAGGAACTGGGCTCTGCCACCCCACAGCCTCATCTCCTGCCACCCCAGGCTCCCTGGAAGCACCAGCCAGAGTGAGCCATCTCAAAGTGTCAACCAGCACACAGGCAAAAAAGAAAAGAGAAACAGAATGAACCACCTCTAGGCTCCCCAAAGTACTAGGCCCTTGCTTGTTTCCACATGTCTGATTTGCTGTCCCTGGAACATCCTCCTCCTGAAAGATGTGCTCCAAAGGTGCCCCTCCTTCAAGCAGTCTTCGTGGGTTTCTTTCTCTGGGTTCTCAGAGCTCACTACATCAGCTTCTCCCGTGGCTGAGAAGGTCAAGGATATACCTCTATCCATTTCTTCTGTGCCCCCTTCTATCACCCAGGGCCTGGAAAAGGCCAGGAGCTCAAACAGATGTCTGAGGGCTCAGTGTGAAAACAGAATGCTGAAGGCCATTCCCTAGAGGGCCTTGGAATGTTCCTGGGCACTGGGCTTGGCAGAAAGCCCCGGGAGCTCTGAGCTCACCTGGGCCCTGGTAGCTTCGGTGAGAGCTGAGTATCCCTGAGGCCTGGGGTGTTTGTTGTTTGAGCCATGAACAGCCATGTGCCAAGGGCCCAGAGCCCAGGGTCAGCTGGCTGAGCCAGCTAGGGGAGAGGCTGGTTGGTCTCCCAGAGCTCAGCAGGCTTGTCAGGGCAAGGCATGCTAGAGGTGGTGACTGAGCCTGGCATCTGTCACTGGTCTCACTGAACCGACTTCTGCAGGCACAAAGTCCTGCTGCCCCAGTGACTAATAACCATACCTAGTCATTGGATATGTGGCATCTGGGTGTGGGATTGAGGGAGAAGGAAGAAAGGGAGAGAAACCACTAACCGTGGGTCATGTTATCTCATTTGATCCTTGCTGTGAGAAGGTTGGATACAGAATCACCCATTATACCATTGAGGGAATGAGGTTGAGAGAGGTTGTATAAGCTGTTTAAGGTCACATAGGGTGTGGGGTTTGTGTGAGAAATAGCACAGAGCAGTGATTACAATCTGGAGCCAAGTCCAAAGCCATATCTTTTGCACTGAAGCTGAATGGTCTTGGACATGTGACTTCACCTCTCTGAGCCTCTGTTTCTTTACTTGCATTAATAATGGCTCAGACTTAAGATGCACTCAATTGTACTAGGCTCTGTTCTTTACCTATATTAACTCATTTAATCTTCACACCAACCCCACAAAACAGGAACCCATTTTAGAGATGAGGAAACAGAGGCACAGAAAGATTAAGTTGCCCACAGTCTCACCCAGGCTCCAGATTCCATGCTGTTAACCCTGTGCTCTTGCATGTCTACAAAATGCAGCCTTGTTTATCCAACAGATATTTACTGAGCACCTACTATGGGCCAGGCAGAGACTGTTCTGGAGGTATAGGAAGGAACTAGACAAACTCTCTGCCTCTAATGGTACCTAGAATGGAGTGGGAGAGACAGAGAATAAGGAAATACAGATATATTTCAGGTGGTAATAGATGCAACAAAGAAAACAAAGCCACTAGATAAGGGGATAAAGACCAATGAGGTGGGTGGTCAGGGAAGGCTTCTCAGAGGAGGTGACATGTTCGCTGAGAACTAAATGATATGAGGGAGCGAGCCACAGGAACATCAGGGGGTAAGAGTTTCTGGGGGAGGGCATACATATGCAAAGTCCCTGTGGCTGGAGTGGAATGAGCCACTGGAAGGGAGGGGCAATAAGAGGAGTGGTTGAAGGGACAGTGTCAGCTCACATGGGCCTTGAAGGCTGTGGTAAGGGCTTTGAAGGTAACAGTACCCTTCCCCACAACGCACACACAGGTATTATTGAAAAGCGTATGCATGTGAAACCTAGAATATAATAAGTGCTCAATAAAACGTCTCTATATTTCTTATTATTGTTGTAAAATAAACATAACAAAATTACCATTTTAAAGTGTACAATTCAGTGGCACTTGGTACATTCACAGTGTTGTGCAATTATCACCACTATCTAATTCCAGAATACTTTCATCATCCCAAAAGGAAACCCTGTGCCCATTCAGCAGTTATTCCCCATTGCCTGCTCGCTCTAAGTCCTGGTAGCCACTAATCTGCTTTCTGTCTCTATGGATGTGCCTATTCTGAATACAGTATTTCATGGAAATGGAATCATACACTATGTGGCCTTTGTGTCTGGCTTCTTTCCCTTAGTGTAATGTTTCCAGATTCATCCATGTTGTTGCACGAATCATACATACTCCATTCATTTTTAGGACTGAACAATATTCCTTTGTATCTGTATACCACATTGTATTTGGTGGACAAACATGTGGGTCGTTTCCACCTTGTAGCTGTTGGGAATGATGCTGCTGTGAACATCCGTGCACAATTCTTTGTTTGGAAACCTCTTCTCAGTATTCTGGGTAAATACCTGGGAGTAGAATTACTGGGTCACTTGGCAATCCTATGTTTAATTTGTTGAGCAACTGCTAAACTTCTTCACAGCTGCCATTAATATTTTAATTGTTATTATGAGGCCTCTATTTCCCTGTAAGGGTCGCTCCCTTCCCTACCACCTGTGATGGCGCCTCCTCTCCCCCAAGACCAGCCGGGCTGGGTTCTAAGACTTTGCCCCTCCCCGCCACAGCCCTGGCCAGCAGCTCACTGGATCCCCTCGTGCCACAGGTGTTCGGGGACATGGACCAGGTGCGGATGACCTCCGAGGGCTCCGACTGCCGTTGCAAGTGCATCATGCGGCCGCTGAGCAAGGACGCCTGCAGCCGGGTGCGCAGCGGGCAGGCGCGGGTGGAGGACTTCTACACGGTGGAGACGGTGAGCTCGGGGGCCGACTGCCGCTGCTCCTGCACCGCGCCGCCCTCCTCGCTCAACCCCTGCGAGAACGAGTGGAAGATGGAGAAACTCAAAAAGCAGGCGCCTGAGCTCCTCAAGGTAAGCAAGTAAGTGAGTGGCTCTCCCGGGCCAGCGCAGGGCCATCCTTCCAGGGAAAACACCACATGCTCTGGGAAGCGGCGGCTGTCACCACCCCATTTCACAGATGAGGAAACCAAGGCTCCCTGAGGGAAAGCATCTTACCCAAGACCATTTAGCCAGTAAGTGATGGAGGCAGCGTGTTTGGCTCATTTACTCAGTGTAGGCCTCGCCACCTATTCCAGCGTCTGTGTTTCACTCAAACCAAGTCACCTAGCGACACCGGTCTGTTTTAGATTTTGCGGCATTTTATTGTTTTTAATGTCATATTTCCTGTGTTCAAGCATTACTCGCATGCCCGATCCCGTGCTCCCTTTACACATTATTTCTCTGAATCCTTAAGGCATGCTGTGAGATAGGAGTTCTTTGTCCTCGCTGTATTGGTGAGGAAACTGAGGCTGAGAGGAGTTAGGTAACTTGCCCAAACTCAGTAACAATGGGAAGCCTCGAGTCTATGGCATGCTTTTGTGAGAATTAGAAAAAGCCCAGGCTCCCAGAGGCATGTTAGAAAGAGGTGTCGCCTCTGGGGGACACAGCCCCATGCCAGGACCCACCTAGGTGGCTTCGTTAGGCAAGTGCAGGCTAGGTCTCAGTCCCCACAGCCAGCCAGGCACCTTTTTGCCGTTGGGACTACACTTATCTGGGTGCTTGGTGGGCATGGTAGGCCTGGGATTTGAACCCAGGGCCTGCTATATCCAGAGCATGTGTTCTAAATCACCTCGCTCTCCTGTCTTCCTTTTTGTAAAGGACCAGATTATTTGGTGTCTTTTGAAAGTATCTTTTTCTTTTATAACTTCTTCCAAACCTGTGTCTATTTTGCCTGTGTGGTACCAAAAACTGTAAAAGGTCTAAGATGTTACCCTCTTCGTAAGCCAACCTGTTGGCCTGACAGTGTCATGACCGCTGTCAAAAGCTATAGCCTCCTAGGTCAAAGACAAGGGACTTTATTACTCACAGCAAATCTACAGTTTCTGGCACTGGCTTTCCCAGCTCCGGTTCCCATGGGGTGATGCAGTGAGGCCCAGACAACACCTGCACTCACAGTGGGGTGTGTTATGGGGAGGAGCCCGAGCTTAGAGAATCCAAACCTTTTATGACGGGCACTGAGCGTGCCTGCACTTTCCTCTGGAGGGAAGCACTGTCTCTGTCTTCCAGGGCTGCTCGCTGCACAGTTCGGTGGCTCAGGACAAACACAGTCAGTGCCTCTGCCTGTGAGACATACGTAAAAACAAAGACTCATGAGGGCTGGGCGCGGTGGCTCACGCCTGTAATCCTAGCACTCTGGGAGGCCGAGGTGGGTGGATTGCTCCAGGTCAGGGGTTCAAAACCAGCCTGAGCAAGAGCAAGACCCCATCTCTACTATAAATAGAAAGAAATTAATTGGCCAACTAATATATATAGAAAAAATTAGCCGGCTATGGTGGTGCATGCCTGTAGTCCCAGCTACTTAGGAGGCTGAGGCAGAAGGATCGCTTGAGCCCAGGAGTTTGAGGTTGCTGTGAGCTAGGCTGACGCCATGGCACTCACTCTAGCCTGGGCAACAAAGTGAGACTCTGTCTCAAAAAAAAAAAAAAAAGATTCATGAGGGATTATCTCCCAACATTTGGCTGAAAATGTTTTCTGTAAATTCAACTTCAGTTTTATTTTTGTTAATACCTGAATGGATGCCAAAACTCTCAAAACTGGGGACGGGGTTGGGGGTGGATTTTAGGCCAGTGACCTCTTGACTGCCTGTCAGCAGTCCCTGGACCACACTCTCCCTGGGGCCTCAGTCAGCCCCTATGGACTCCACGCAGCGAGGACATAAGCCAGTCTTCAGTTACAGGGACAAACCCAATTTCTGCTTAAGTTGACTTCTCAATCACCAGATTGTAAGCACGCTTGACGTGAGGACACACAAAGCCCTTTCACAAGTGCTGGCCAGTTCAGACCTTGCTACAACCCTTACAGCACCAGCTTTACTTGTGGGGGAATCTGCAGCCCAGAGAGGGGCTGTGACTTGTCTAAGATCACACAGCAAGAAAGTGGCATTGCTAAGGTTTGAACCCAGGAATTCTCTGCCGCGTCCCCTTGCCCACTAGAGGGATTACTAGGCAACCTCTCAGCCAGGAGTTCCCGTCCCTTAGGCCTTTTCAGTGCATGGTCACCATGGGGGTCTCATTCAGCCTTACGGAACTGGAGTCAGATGGTGGTGGGATTGATTTGGCAGGAGGGGCAGGAGGAGAAGAGGGTGCCCTGCCTCACTGGTACCCCAGGGGCAGGAGTGGGCACTGGAGGGTACCCAGACAGCCCTAAGAAGAGAGGGGACAGAGGCTATAGGAGACAGGGCTGGGGCTTCAGCTCAGTTTGGCTCTCCCTCCATCAGCAGGCGGCTCCGGTATGCATCCCCCAGGGGAGGGGTGAAGGGAAGCCCACAGGGTAGGGCACTGGCCCTGTAGCCCACCCCTGTTCTGCCCAGCCCTCCCCCAAGCTGATAACGCCAGCTGTGATTTGGCCTCAGTCTCGTGGCTCTGGTAAGAGACTACACTGTGGGCAGCCTGTCCCCTGCCCCACCTTGGGTGGGCTGGCTGCAGGGTCTGCGCCTCTCGCCGCTCCACTCCTCTGTCTTCTGGATATGACCTCCCCCTCCAGGAGTCCCCGGGCTTGGGAGGACACAGCTGCTGACCCCAGTCATGGCGGTGTGATAAAGGCTGGGCTGAGAGATGTCCCAGGGACCATGGGAGCCCCAAGGAGGATAATGAGGGATGGCACTGGGGCCAGAGGGACATGTACGAGTCCCTCGGGCAGGGAAGACATGAGGGCATTCTGGGTGAGAGCGAGCGGGGTGGATACCTCGTGCCTTCTCTCTGCTCCAGCCCCACTGGCCCCGTCCCTTCCTCTGACACAGTGCTTCTCAGCATGACCAGCTTTTTAAAAAATCAAAAATCTGTCAAGGACCAATACTATCATAAAATACTGTACAGATGAATTATTAAAAAAACGAAATGACACAAAAGCAGATATGCAAAATGTAAGTCCAATGTTTTGTTGTGAGGGCCAATTTGCTCTGTCAAGTGGCTCTGAAAGGTCCTAAAAACCTATTCTCATTTTCTGTAGTTATTCTATCCCAGCATGGTAATGAGCAGTTTGAACCAGTACTAACCCACAGACCATGCTTTGATAGCCAGACTGGAACAAGCCGGGCTGCTTCTCCCCTGCAGCTCTGAGCACAGGCCGTGCCCTTCGCTTACACTGTCCTTTCCCAGACACCTTTGCCGAATTAGTGCTCCCCCTGCAGAGCTCTGCTCAAACAGAACGCCCTCCGACAGCCTTTCCTAACCCACACCTGCTCACGGGCAAGGCCAGCGCCCCATCATTAATGACATGGGCACCTGTGTGTCACTGTGTCTGCTAATCTTGGCACCTCTATATCACCGTCCCCTGATTTGGGCACCCATGTGTCACAGTCCCCTGATCTGGGCACCTGTGTGTCACTGTCTGTGTACCCTGATCTGGGCAGCCGTGTGTCACTGCCTGTCCCCTGATCTGGCCATCTGTATGTCACTCTCTGTAACCTTGATAGCCCACAAAGGACCACGATGGCCCACGTTTGTCTTGCTCATCAATGTCCATAGTGCCTGGCCCAGAGTAAACATCTGCTGAGCCTGAAGAGGAGGGCAGGGGCATGCCACGGAGGGTTCAAATGCCAGGCTGAGAAGGTGAGAAGCCACATGTGGACAGTGGAGAGCCCAGAAAGTTGTCTAGCAAGGGAGAGACCCTTGTCGAAGCCAGTCTTGGTGGCCACAGAGGCAGCATAATGAAGCTGGGAGCTCCCTTTTAGCCCCCAGAACAGTAATCATCGCTGCTGGCATTCACGACGCCCTTGCTGTGTGTCTGCCCTGAGCTGAGCTCTGTCTGGACGTTGCCACTCCTGCCTACATACAGCCCTATTGCCCCATTTCTCAGCAAAGGAAGCTGAAGCACAGCTTCCTTTGCTGAGAAATGTCTATGGCCATGGTTTTCAAGCTGTGTTCCACAGAGCCCTAGGGGTCCCATGCAGCCCCTCAGGCCCAAAGTGAGGCTGTTGGGGAGCAGAGAAAGCACTGGGCCTACCCCTGCTTCTAGCAGAGACTCCCACCCCTGTTTCTGCTTTAGAGATCAGATTCTGCTCAGAGAAAAGCTCCCTGGCTTAAAACAGTTTGAATACCCCCCGGGAGAGTGGGAGTAACACTGTTTTGGAAACAGCTGGCCAGGGCCAGACAGCAGCACCCGCCTGCGCAGGCCCTGAGAACGCTGCGGGGCTCCGAGTGGGGCCACACGGAAGGGTGGGCAGAGGCACTGCCCTTCCCAAGCAGCCAGCGAAAGCTGATTTCCCAACTGGCCCCTTGTGCCAACGTTTCCCTGACACTCTGGCATCTTGGCCATCTGCAGGGAGTGTCATATCCTGATGAGGTGTGACAGAGAGGAAGAGGGGTGGGCCAGCTGCGGGGCAGAGCCCTGGGCTGGGCAAGGGAGACCTGGCATCTGCTCCAGGTCCTGCTGCTGACCTGTTGTGCAATGCTGTCCTCCTCTCGTGGCCTCTGTTTCCCGTCTGAATAGATGACGGAGCAGGAGAGCACGATAGGAAAGAGGTTTGTGTTTGTACAAATCTGGGTGCTACTGCTGGCACCCCCATTTAACAGCTGGGCAGCCTTGGGCAAGTCACCTCCAAGCTGCAGCTTCCCAGTCTTGAAAATGAAGGCAGAAGTTGTCCATACCTGTGTTAGGTGGGGTCACTAGAAGCAGGCCCTGAAGCCAGTGATTTGTAGGCGAGTGATTTACTACGGAGCACTCCCAGAGAAATTGGGGTTGATGTGGGAGAGCAGGGGTGAGAGAGGAGGAAGCCCCATGAGGGTGTGGTCTCAGGCACCTTGCCAGCCTAGGCTCACGCTCAGGGGAGCTCTGGACTGGGAAGGACGGCTCGGTTTGTCTCCAGTAGAACCAGGGAGCCGGACTGTTAGGTGCCCACACCAGCCAGTCAAAGCTGTTCTTTGATGAGAGTCCTAGATGGGCACAGAAACAGAACGAAGGATCCCTGGGGACCTGGACAAGCTCCTCCAGGGAACATTACACACCTCATAGGGTTGTAACAACAAAGATTAAGTGATGTAACTCATTAAACCTCTAGCACAATGCCTGGCATGTGGTGAGGGCCCAAAGATGGAATCTGCTGCTTTTCTTGTGGTTATTAGCCGGCCCGGTCCAGGGAGCACCGAGGGTCTGCGCAGGCAGCTCCAGCCCCTGGGGCGCTGGGGTTCTTAATTGCAGTGAGACTCCTTTGGCACCTACATGCCTGGCCTTGTGCTATGCCCTTTGCCTAACACTCCCTCTGCCTGGGCAGCTGCAGTCCATGGTGGATCTCCTGGAGGGCACCCTGTTCAGCATGGACCTGATGAAAGTGCACGCCTACGTCCACAAGGTGGCCTCCCAGATGAACACGCTGGAAGAGGTAAGGGGGGCTCCCACCAGATGCCAGACTGGCGCAGTGCTGGGAGCCAAAAGGGCCTGGGCAATTCTGGCTTGACCCTGGTAGCCACTGGAAGCTGGACTTCAGCAGGGAGTTCGGGGAGGGAAGTGCAGGCCGCAGGGTCCAACCTTGGGGGAAGAGGTCAGTGGGGCTCAAGGGCCCGCAGGAAGCTGGAAGGCTGGGTGGAAAACCCAAGGCACCTGCTTGGTTTTATGAAAGGGGCGTGGGGAGGCTGGGACTTGTAGTTGCCCTCAATGCACCAGGATCAGGGCCCACACCTCGCACAGCTCCGGGGGCACCATCCACATAAGATCCCATGTCAGCGCTGCCGGCTGCGTTGGTGCAAAATGGCGGGACTGGCCGACCCTACTGAAGCTGGGCTTGGGCAGCATGACTGTCCCAGTACCCAACTGAAGTGGAGACACAGGTGCTGAGTGTCCTGTCCCGGTCAGTTTGAAAGTGCATTAGGGCTGGGCAGGTGGCTGGGACTGCTCCTTGAGTACAAAGACAGAGCTGGGCGAGCGTGGGGGTCCAGGCTGCAGGTTCAATGTTTGCATCTCTGCTGGCACTGCCTGGCCTTCGCCTGTTTCCTGCATCCAACCTCTGCTGGGCCGCTGGGAGTCTAGGGACATGCAGCTGCCAGGAGTGGGTGTGGGGGCTTCCTTTCCCGGCTTCCTTTACAGAAGGAGGGGGCATCTGGGCATCCTGTGCCCCAGGGTGGGAGATTAACCCCTTACTAACCCAAAGGTTGGGGTCACTGTGGCTTTAAGTATTCAAAAAATATTTGGTGAGTATCTACTAAAGGCCAACCCCACGCCGGCCTGGGAGAAAGCTCACATTTACTGAATTGCATCCATGCGCCAGTACTTCCTGTGTGCTTAGGACATGCCAGACTCTCCCGTCGCTGGCTCTGACGTTATCCTCCTTTGATCTTTCCTCTTGTAATCTCAGGAAATATTAACTTGCTTCACGTAATTCTGAGCCAGACGATCTGGAGGGTATGTCTCCTGGGCCTGGAACAAATCAGAAAAGATTTCCACAGCCACAGAGAAATGATTTCTTAATTTTCTTCTGTTTTGCATTATCTGTGCTTTGCTTCTGTTAACCATGGTTTACTGAGTGATAACCCTATGAAAAAGAAAAAAAGAGCTTTCTGCTCACCCTGGGAGGAGGAGCAAACAACCTCATTCAAAAACCGGCTCCCTCCACCAAGGGGAAGAACCTCCCAGGGGAGTTGGGCAGCAATTGCTGCCCGCTGCTCTCTTCCCTGATGCCGGTAGTTCTTAAACACGGCTAGTTTTGCCCCCCAGGGGATAGTTGCCAATAGCTGGAAACATTTTTGGTTGTCACAACTTAGGCAGGGGACAGGGTAAATGCTACTGGCTTCTACTGGGTCAAGGCCAGAGATGCTGCTGAACACCCTCCAGTGCACAGGACTGTCCCCAACAATAACTATTTGGCAAATGTCAATAGTGCTGAGGCAGAGAAAATCTGCCTCACACACTGACTTCTGTCATCCCTGGGGTCATGTTTAAAATGTGCTTTCATATTCCTCAGTCTTTCTCGGCCTCACACTGAACCTGCGGTGTAGTTGTTATTATGATAAGGATCCCATTTTACAGGCAAAGAAACTGAGGCCCTGACAGGGCCTAGTTACTCACCCACAGTTACCCAGCCAGGAACTGGAGAGCAAGGGTTTGAACCCAGGTGTGTCTAACTCCTTCCAGCTGCCTCTTGGTCCCTGAGCCTGAGTCACTCAGGACTGACAGGATATAAATCATTTTCCTCTGTGACAATTTCTGTGAATGAGATTCTGAACTCACAATTCTGTTACTCCATGGCTTCTTAGTTTTCTGTGTCTGATTCTAGTCTCTCCTGCTTTACCTGAGAAGTAGACTCAGATGAAGGAATCCCATGCATACCCCAGACCTGCTGGGACTTTGGGGACCTGGGACTGATGCCTGCCAGACCAGCCAGGTTTACTGAGTCCTGTTTGGTGGACAAGGCCAGCCTGGGCAACAGCCCACAAAGGGATCCCCAGGTAGTGGGGGATTCACAGAGCAAGGAGCACTGTAGCTCTGAGCAGCCCATCTGTTCCCAGGGGGATTCAGAACCAAGAGTAGCTCGAGGGGGTCGGGTAGGAGCTGCTAAGGCTAGGCAGGGAGCCAGGGCCCCAGTGAGGGGAAGACGGGGCAGGCAGGAGAATAAGCTTGGGAGAAAAGGCAGGCCCAGTGCCACCAGAGGAGCCTACATGGCCTGGGAGAGAAGTTTGAGCCTTGGAGACCAGGAGGGAGCAGAGCTCACCCATAGCAAAACCCCAAAGAGTTTCACTCCATATAAATGTTGGAATATTTTATAAAAGGAAGGCATTTATGTACTTATGTGTTACTTATAAAATTAAAAAGTAATTTTAGGCTGAGCATGGTAGCTCACACCTATAATCCCACTAGTACTCTGGAAGGCCAAGGCAGGAGGGTTGCTTGAGGCCAGGAGTTCAAGATCAGCACGAGCAAGAGTGAGACTCTGTCTCCACAAAAAATAGAAAAAATTAGCCCAGCATAGTGGCACGTACCTGTAGTCCCAGCTACCTAAGAGGCAGGAGGATCACTTGAGCCCAGGAGTTCAAGGTTGCAGTGAGCTATGATGATGACGCCACTGTACTCCAGCCTGGTCGACAGAGCGAGACTCTAGTTCAAAAAAAATTTTAAGGTAGCAAAAAGTTGGAAGCAACTTAAATAACCATCAATAAGGCTAAATAAATTATGGCCTGCCAGTACAATGGCATACGTGTAGCCATTAAAAGAAACGGGGAGCCCTATAGATACAGATATGGAACAGTTCCCAAGATAGGCTGTCAGTGAAAATGCAAAGTGCTGAAACATGCGTGTGTATGTATATATACATTTGTCCCTCCAAGTGTACAGACTCTCTTTATAAGGATACATAAGACACCCATAACAGTTGGTGGCACTGAGAAATAACGGTGGAAGGGAAACATATTTAGACATATTTTTTATACCTATTTATATTTTTTCTTTACATTTGAGGCAGGGTCTCACTCTGTCATCCAGGCTAGAGTGCAGTGCCTCAATTATAGCTCACTATAACCTCAAACTCTTGGGCTCCAGTGATCCTCCTACCTCAGCCTCCTGAGTAGCTGGGGATTACAGGCACATGCCACCATGCCTGGCTAATTTTTTTGTTTTGTTTTAGTTAGTTAGTAAAAACTGTGTCTAGGCCAGGTGTGGTGGCTCATGCCTATAATCCTAGCACTCTGGGAGGCCAAGGTGGGAGGATTGCTTGAGCTCAGGAGTTCGAGACCAACCTGAGCAAGAGTGAGACCCCCATCTCTAAAAAAATAAATAAAGACTGGATCTCACTGTGTTGCCCAGGCTGGTCTCCAACTCCTGGCCTCGAGTGATCCTCTCACCTCAGCCTCCCAAAGTGTTGGGATTACAGGCGTGAGCCACTGCACCTGGCCTCCCATTTATATCTTTGTAATTTAGTACCATGAACACACATTATCTATTTTTCATTCCTTCACATTTTAAATTTACTAAGTTGATGACAGCATGCTGTCTTCGAGCATGCTCTGCTCCACCCATGGTCGCTGGTGCCACCCCGCCCGCACCTGGCCTGCTCAGGGGATGGGGCAGCAAGGCCTGATGGCTGACGCTGGGGTGTCCCTCTGGTCTGGGGGTTTGGAAGAAGCTGTCCTGGGAAAGACCTAGAATCCCACCCCCACAGAGCATCAAGGCCAACCTGAGCCGGGAGAACGAGGTAGTGAAGGAGAGCATGCGCCACCTCAGTGAGCAGCTGAGGCACTACGAGAACCAGTCGGCCATCATGATGAGCATCAAGAAGGAGCTGTCTAGTCTGGGCCTCCAGCTGCTGCAGAAGGATGCGGCTGCCCCTGCCGCCGCCCCAGCCACTGGCCCTGGCAGCAAGGCTCAGGTGAGGGCTCTGATCAGGGGCCAGGTGGTGGCTGGGCTTGGGAGCACAGTGTGCCAGGACCTTGGCCCTGAGGGCCAGCTCAGGGGGGGTTTGGGGCCATAGGACAGGGCTGAGGGCTGGCAGGGCTGGGGGCAGCACTGCCTGCTGTGCAGCAAGCACAGACAGTCCAGGTGAGCTGGGGGCAGACGTGGGGATCCAGCCAAGGGGGCTGGTCCCTAAGCCAGATGTTTGGTAATATTCTCATTCCCAAGTTTCCAAACTAGTGGGGGACAAGTTTGTGAAGATGACACTCCCTGCCTGGTCTTGAAAGATCAGGTCAGCTGCGGTCAAACTGCTTCACCTCCCCTGCTGTGGCTGGGCCCCTGGCTGGGTCGGGCCTGCTCAGGGGTAGGTGAGCAATGCCTCGAGATCCTCAGTCATCCAACCCAACCTGGCATGGAGAATTCCTGCACCAAACACCCAGACATTCTGTCTTCAAGCCCAGCACAAAGGGAGCAGGGCCACTGGCTTGGTCACTGTGTCACCTATGACAGCTAACACATCTTTGTGCAAATTTAATAAAGGTCTTCCCTTTAGGCAGACACATTCCAAAACTGGCTGTCCATCTAAGCACGTAAATTAGAATGAAGAGCTACCTTTGGGTGAACACGTTGCACAAAGGCTCCTTCCTCTGCTGGACGCTCACTAGGGCGTGTGGCTTGGTGAATGGAGCGCAGACTAGACTGCAACCCCATTCATGCACTGTCGGCCAATAGCGTGGAGGGCAACACAAGCCACACCACTGTCCATAGTGGCCTTGTTTCTTGGTGAGTGGCAGAAAAATGGAGCTGACATTTGTGGAATTTCTACTCAAACCTGACTTTCTCACAGACATTATCAGTTAATCTCATAACCACCCGAGAGGAGGGCGACCCCTGCCCATTTAGCAGATGACGACACATGGAGACGTCACGTGGAGAGGGGGTGGCTGTCTGCGTGACTGCCAAACCCGCCCTCTTCCTCTCTTCCGCTCTACCTCTCGGCCTCCTGTTCCTGTGTTGACATTGTGATAATGGGGCCGTTCGTGTCTGCATCTGGGACCGCCTAGATACCGATATTGTGTGGAGGAAGCCTATGCCCTGGGCCAGAGCTGGCTTCCTGCTCACTCTGGTGCCCGTCCTGCAGGCGAGAACGAACCCCGTTTTGGTAGTGGCACAGAAGGCTTCTAGCTAGATACAGTACTTGCCGTATCTGCCTGAGCTTCTGCCTAACAATGGGTGATGTCACAGGCCCTATGTTCTTGTGCCAAGTCAGCATCAGAGGCATTTCAATAGGAAGTGAAAATAACAAAACTCACTAAATGTTAGAAACTGCATGTCCTAGAGGCAGCGTGACCAACCGCCCCAGTTTGCCTGGGACTGAAGGGTTTCCCAGGATGCAGCAAATTCACTGCTAAAACTAGGAAAGTTCTAGGCACACTGAGATGAGGTGATCACACTCCCTACGAGCCCAAGAACGTTTCCCCTACCCACACACTGAGAATAGCAAGTGAGAGAGACAAGGCTGGGAAGCCACCTCCCAAGGGAGCTGAACGTTCTAGTTAATGCCCTGGGGAGGAGTGGGCAGGGGCTGGGAGACGGGTCAGGAATCCAACCCATCAGGGCTGGGCTCCAAGCGTGCAAGGGAGCTAGAGAGCTGAATGGGGAAACCAAGGCAAACCAGTCATGAATGCAGCCACTGTGGGAGGGTATGGAAAGCTGTGACTTCTTGTGTACCTGGGATGTGGGTCCTGAGCAACATGACCACATCTGACCCTGCATGCTGAGCCCCGTGACGCCTTACAACATCCCTTCTGCTGTCCCTCCAGTTTGAGACGTCCCTTTTCCCCCAGGACACAGCTGGAGGGAAAGGCAAGGCCACCAACAAATATGGCATCGTGCAGAAGAGCTTCGTAGACAGGGGCCTCCCGAAACCTAAGGAGAAGCTGCTGAAGGTGGAGAAGCTGAGGAAGGACAGCAGCAAGAGCAGAGTCCCCCAGCCCACAGCAAGGCCCCGGGCCCTGGCCCAGCAGCAGGCTGTGATCCGGGGTTTCACCTACTACAAGGCAGGCGGGCAGGAGGTGACTGAGGCGGTGGCTGGTGAGTTGGGAGAGGTGGGAACCTTGCAGGTCGGGCTTGCTGACAGATCACACCTCCCAGGGATCCCCTCGTCTCCTCCACAGTCAGACTGCCCAGACTACGGCCCCACCATTGATCACCCACTGGGTGCCTTTGCCCATCCACACACAAGGGAGATGACACCCCACTCATGAGGTTGCAGGGAGTGAAGTGGTTGAACCAACAGGAAGGGCTTAGTTTCTTCCCAGTATTTAAAGCAGTCTTGATCTTCATTGGACTTTTTTTTGTTCATTCATAGATTTGGTGAAGGCCCACTATGCGCCAGGTGACAGGGAACAATATAAATACAGTCCCTGTCCCCATGGAGCCCACAATCCAGTGGGAAAAGCATACCTATGACGAAGCAGCTGCCACAGGTGGGGGTGGGAGGACACGGGGCTCTGGGAAGGGACACGGGGCCTCTCGGGCGCCTCTCCTTTCCAGCCCCTCCCACTCCCATATCCCCAAGGAGGAGCTCACAAACTCTTGTCTTTTTCCTACAGCTCCCTGCTGGATCACGGGGGAGGGCAACAAAGTGATTAACCAGGAAACAGGAGACAAAAGTTCCCAGATACCCCAAATTTCTGAGCCTCACAACCCTTTGGTTGTGGCTCCTGAATCTCCCCAAGACCCTCCCCAGAAGCCTGCTCCCCTCTGATGTTCCTGCGGGGTGTCTGAAACCTACTCTTCCCCTTCCTGGTCCCACTGACCACCTCCTCTGGTGAGGCTCTCTGCCCAGCCCATACCCAAGGGGGCTGGGAGGCAGTAAGGGGTTCTGTCTCCTTCAAGAACCCCCTTGTTTCTTGGCCTCTCAGGGCTCAGGGGCCTCTTCCCCCAGCCCCTGGCACCAGCTGCTGGCCCCTAGCCCTGCCAGCTCAGCCTGGCCACAGCACAGAGCCTCTGACCCCCGGCTGGGGCACTGCCCAAGAATAGCTGCAGGCATCTGACTCCGCCAGTGAGGCCTGTGAGAACGAGTGCCCTGCCCTGGCAGGCTGCCGAGGCCAGGCCCCATAGTGGCTTCCCCTGACCAGAGGGACTGTCCTCATCCAGGCTAGGGCCCAGGGTCCCAGGGCTGCCCTACAGCAGGGCCTGGCTAAACCCCTGTGCAAAGAGGAAGCCCAGCAGGAAGAAAAAAGGAAGAAGTCAGGTCACTGTCGTCAAGTCAAGGGGTCTCTGAGCCCCTCCCCTGGCTGGCCAGGCAGTCCCCTGGGAGCCAGACCACCATGGTAACAACAGCACCATTCTTTTGTCCCTGATGTCACAGTTTTCTGAATCCTTTCACACATGCCACCGCATTTGATCCTGGCAGCAACTGCATTTTCCAGGAGAAAGTCTGTAAAATGGGAGCAGGAGTTTCTGCTTCTGGAATTGAATGTAGGAAATGAAAGAATGAGTGCAAAGTGCTTGAGGCTTAGGAAGGGAAGGGATCTCATGTTGGGCACCTCATCCTTGCCAGGACCTGTGCAAGTGTTTTATGTACGTTTCCTGCTGAGCAACACCACGGCCTGCCGTGGGCCTCATTGTTCCTGCTCTCAGGGGTGGAAGTGAGCCCAGCAAGGCAGGAGACTTGGATGGGGCCACCCAGCTGGGGAAGGGTAGAGCTGGCTTTGCATCCTGATAGTAAAGCTGCCTTTCTCTTCCCTGGGGTGTGGGGAGCGCCCTGAGGGAGCCCCTTCTCCCGCCTCTCCCAGGGCTCGGGAGCTGCTGAGAGCCCAGTGGGTCTGAGGGGAGACTCAGGCAGCAGCAGGCACTGCTGGGGGGTGAGCACAGGGTCTTCTCTCTGTAGACAACGCCCTCAAGGGCACTTCCTGGCTGGAGCAAGTGCCACCCAAGGTGGAGGGCAGGCCACCCGAGCCCAACTCTGCGGAGCAGGATGAGGCTGGGCCCAGGTCCTCAGAGGGAGAGGCCTTGGCCCCCAGCACCACCTCAGACCCTTCCACCACCACTGCCACCACCACCCCGACTCCCACCACCAGTCCCCTGCCCACCGAGCCACCTTCACGCCCAGAAGGCCCAAGCCCAGGTGAGTAGCCTCACACGCCCGTGACCAAATCCAGCCCACGGCCTGTCTTGTACAGCCCTCAAGCTAAGAATGGTTTTTACATTTTTACACGGTTGTTAGAAAAAGAAGAAACTATGGAATAGAAGTATGTGTTCTACAGAGCTGCAGACGTTTACTGTCTGATCCTATACAGAAAAACATTGTCAACATTTAAAGTGCTTATATAGATCCTTTTTTCGTTTGTAAGCGGGATGGTTGGGTTTTCATGAGCACGCATGAGATGTGCCTCCCACAGTCCTTGTTACGACCTAGGTGCATTACCCGTCTCACATGAAAAAAAATAAAAATTAAAAAATAAAGTTCTTATAAAACAGGTAGCATTGTTAGCAAGTTCTTCTTCAAATGTCACTTAGAATCTCATCATCAAGGCCGGGCGCGGTGGCTCACGCCTGTAATCCTAGCACTCTGGGAGGCCAAGGCGGGCGGATTGCTCCAGGTCAGGAGTTCGAAACCAGCCTGAGCAAGAGCGAGACCCCATCTCTACTAAAAATAGAAAGAAATGAATTGGCCAACGAATATATATAGAAAAAATTAGCCAGGCATGGTGGGGTATGCCTGTAGTCCCAGCTACTCGGGAGGCTGAGGCAGCAGGATCGCTTGAGCCCAGGAGTTTGAGGTTGCTGTGAGCTAGGCTGACGCCACGGCACTCACTCTAGCCAGGCAACAAAGTGAGACTCTGTCTCAAAAAAAAAAGAAAGAAAAAGAATCCCATCATCAAATTTACCAACTGTTTTTGTTTCTTTATTTCCTCTCTCAGTCCTTGGCCTTGTTTTTATCTCTGAATTTACACTTTTGACTTGTGTCTCCTGGTAGAAATCTTCCTCATTAAACCACTCATCTCATTTTTCTGAGGGCATCTCAGCTGTCTTGTGGTGACAAGCCTTCAAAAGCCATTCCTTGCTCTCGTCCAAGTGCATTCCTCTTCTAGGAATCTTTCCTGAAGGATCCGCCAGCGATGTGGACAACAGCTGCCACTCGAGCGGTTGCATCACGGCACTATTTCTGATGTCAGAAAACTGGAAATAACCTAAACAGCTGACACAGGAGGACTGGTTAAATCAATTCAAGGGCACAGCTGCCTGGTGGCCTGGCAGAACCTTGAAATTCACATCATTAAAAGGCTATTTAATGATGTGAGAAATTTCTCAGTGGAGGGAAAAAACAGGATATGTAAAACTGTATATTCATAAGAGCCACAGTTTTTTAAAGTATGTCTGCGTGACTGTCCATGCAAAGGAAAAAAGAAAAGGAAGGAAATATGACAGGTTTAGAATTTTCTTTGGATAATGGAACTTTTTTTAGGTTTTTATTTTATTCTTTTAGGGTTTAAATTTTTTTATTTTTTTAATTGACAAAAATTTTATGTATTTATGGTGTACAACATGATGTTTCAAGTATGTATACATCGCGGAATGGATCAATCAAGCTAATTAGCATATGTATTACCTCATATACTTTTTTCCTGTGGTGAAAACACAAAATCTACTCTCTTAGCAGTTTTCAAGCATGCAATATATTGAACTTACTCCTCCTGTCTAACTGAAAGTTTGAATCCTTCGACTAACATCTCCCCAGCCCCTCATCCCCAGGTAACCACTGCTCTGGTCTCTGCTTCTAGGATTTCAACTTTTTTAGATCCCACAGATAACGGATAATGAAATTTGAATGCTTTCTATAATGATCAGGCACTGCTTTCCGTGAGGAAAGGAGTGAAATGCCATAAACAATATCAGGAGGGATTTAAGTTAGACCCAAGTAATGTCCCAAGGACCATTGCTCTGGCTCACGGCCGGTGGGGTCTATGCACCAGAGCTGGACCCCAGAGCTGCCCTCTCGCTCCCCACAGGCAGGGAGGCGAGCTGCGAGGGCACCCTCCGGGCCGTGGACCCCCCTGTGAGGCACCACAGCTACGGACGCCACGAGGGGGCCTGGATGAAGGACCCTGCTGCCCGGGACGACAGGATCTATGTCACCAACTACTACTATGGAAACAGCCTGGTGGAGTTCCGCAACCTGGAAAACTTCAAGCAAGGTCAGAGACCCCCGGAGATGGGAAGAGGGCGGCCTGGGGAGGGTCCCCCAAGGAGCCTTGGCCTTCCTCTGCCTGTGGTTTCCTGTGCTGTAGCCTGGCCTGGCCCCAGAGTGGCAGCCACCCCAAGAAGGGGAACCTGGGGGCACTGGGCTGGGGCCCAGCCAGACCATGTGGCAACCTGTGTGCTGGCCCCGGGCCAGGAATGGGAATGCAGCAGCAAATGAGAAGGACATGGTCCTGCCGTCACAATGTAACTTGCCATCATGGGGAACAATACTGAGTTTCTGCGTGCTGAGTCCTTACTGAGTGCCAGTCGCCCTGTGGGTATCAGCTCATGGTATCTTCCTAACTCCTCGAGGTGGGGCTTGTCACCTGTTTTACAGGTGAGCAGGGCCTCAGGCCTTAGAGGAGCTACAGGTCTGTGCAGAGGCCAGGTTGGAGCTGTCGGCACAGGGAAGGGCAGAATTTTGGTTATCAGATCTGAGGCGTGATGGGGGAGGGGGTCATTTAGACTTGGCCCTCTAACATGCACAGTCTCATGTGGGAGGCAAAGGCTTAAAGAGACAATTTGAGGCCAGTGTTAGAGGGAACCCAGCCTTGAGATCTGGGAAGACTTCTCAGAGGAGGTGATGCTGAACTGAGCCCTGGAGGAAGGGTCAGAGTAAGCCCAAAGAAGGGAGAGGGAAGGGTGTTCCGGGCAGAAGGCCCAGTATGTGTGAAGGCCTGGTGGTGACAGGAAGCATGGTGGCATGGGGCAGTGGGAGTGAGAGTGGGCTGGGGCAGGCTTTGTGAGCCACATGAAGGAGTTCGGACTTGCCCCAAGAGCCATGGAGTCCCAGAGCACGGCCTGGAACAACTAATGCCCTTCACTCCCAGCCCAAAGTTGGCCTGCTTTCTGCCTTGAGCGGCTCACGGGCTGGTGGAGGAAGGCAGTGGTAAGTGTCAAGACAGAAGGCTGGCAAGGCCAGAGGAGAGGCCCCTCACTCAGCCTGGGGATCGTAGGGAAGGCTTCCTGGAGGAGGTGACATTGGCCGAGGGCTCTGAAAGACAGGCAGGCATTCCCCAGGCAGATCGAAGGGGATGCCAGTCCAGACAGAAGGAACAGCAGGGGCAAAGCCTGGGGCTGACATCACCCTGTGGCCAAATCCTAGCTGTGCCATTCCGAGGTCACCAAGCTGGGTGACCATGAACCCTCGGGGCCTGTTTCCTCATAGGCAAATGGAATGAAGATCGTACTTCCTTCAGGGAACTCTTGTGATGTAATGAGGGGATCGGCCCAGCTCCAGGCACAGCCTACGTGCTTGGTGTCAGTTGCTTTCTTTGCCACTCGAGACCCTTGGTGGCCTCACGCTATGTGAGGCGGGTTGTTCTGGAGGCTCTGATGTGACCACCCCCTCCGCCTGCAGGCCGCTGGAGCAACATGTACAAGCTGCCGTACAACTGGATCGGCACGGGCCACGTGGTGTACCAGGGCGCCTTCTACTACAACCGCGCCTTCACCAAGAACATCATCAAGTACGACCTGCGGCAGCGCTTCGTGGCCTCCTGGGCACTGCTGCCCGACGTGGTGTACGAGGACACCACACCCTGGAAGTGGCGCGGTCACTCGGACATCGACTTTGCAGTGGACGAGAGCGGCCTGTGGGTCATCTACCCTGCCGTGGACGACCGCGACGAGGCCCAGCCCGAGGTGATCGTGCTGAGCCGCCTGGACCCGGGCGACCTCTCCACGCAGCGGGAGACCACGTGGAAGACACGGCTGCGGCGGAACTCCTACGGGAACTGCTTCCTGGTGTGCGGCATCCTGTACGCCGTGGACACGTACAACCAGCGCGAAGGCCAGGTGGCCTACGCCTTCGACACGCACACGGGCACTGACGCTCGGCCCCAGCTGCCCTTCCTCAACGAGCACGCCTACACCACCCAGATCGACTACAACCCCAAGGAGCGGGTGCTCTACGCCTGGGACAACGGCCACCAGCTCACCTACACCCTCCACTTCGTGGTCTGAGCAGGGACCTTGCTCACGGGAGGGGCAGCAGTGGGGAAGGGGCTCCCCACGGCAACTCCTGCAGCCCACCCAGCCGGCGAATATTTACAGGGGCCAGCCCAGGCTCGGGCTAGGCACGAGGTGGTGACCAGGATCGAGCTTCCACCCGCAGAGCACTGTGCCCAGCGCTGTACAGGCACTTAGGACCCATTTCATTCTCCCAGCACTGCCCTTGGAGAGACAGGCCGTGACGCCCATTCAACAGATGAGGAATGGAGGCTCAGAGAGGCAGCGTTACTGGCCTAATGCCTCAGCTGGGCTCCTGCGGGACGAGCAGACATCTCCACGCTCTCCCCCTTCCAGCCCTCTCCCCAGTGTTCCCTCAGCTCTGTCTCCCCTCCCAGGGCCACTCCAGACCAGAGGCCTCTGGGGCCAGTGCGCTAGTGTTGTGTGGAGGCGGCTCTGCCTGCCACCCAGGCCCCTGTCTGGCTCACCTATTGGTGGCCCTGGGTTTGGGGCCCCTTGGCTAATGTCCCTGCTTCTTGCCTTTGGCCAGCGCCCCTATCCCACCGCACCCGCCATCCTGCCGCATTCCGAACCTCCACCGTCACCTAGCCACTGAGCAGAAACCACACCCGGAGAGAAAATCCTGGCCCCTGTTCCAAGGCCCCCTCCCTTCTGTCCTCATTTTCATTCTTTCTTATTCTTCGTCAGTGCCGTCATCGGTTTCTGCAGCAGCGGCTGAGAAGGCGCAGGCAGCCGTCTGCCAGCAGCAGCTCCACCAGGGAGGGGAGCTGAGCGGAGCCTCCCTCTCCACCCAGAAGCACTGGCATTGGCCACACACACAAGCCTTGGGTCCCCTTGTTCCCTCCCAAAGCCTTTGGGCCTGGGGTCCACCTTGTCCTCTCTCTCTGGGCCTTCAAACCCATGGCCTACACACACTCAGGGATACCTCCAGGTCTGCCATGAACAAGACCCCAGGCCGAGGCTGAGGTGGTACCAGGATGGAGCAGGTTCCCTCTTCCTTGTTAGTCCTGACCTGGTCTTTTGGGGAGCTGGCTCAGCTGTCTGGAGGGCTGGGGAAGACAGGGGGTCTGAACAGTCAGGTCTAGGGAAGCATTGGGCCTTCTGGTTGCAGGCAAGAGCCAGAGAGTGGAAGCAGGAAGGGGAGGACTGGGGTCTAGGAATAGGCTTTTCCTGGCTTCAGAGATGTCGGGGCAGCCCAGGACCTGGGGGAGAGGATCGCAGGTGGGCCACCTCACCTGGGCTGCTGATAGCTCCCCAGAGCCTCAGACCCAGGCAGTTCGGAGGACAAGATCCTCCAGCCTGCCCCTGAGCTGCTTTCTGTGGTATTTTTAGAGCTGGAAAGAAGTTCTCTAGCCCACTTCCTGTTCCACCAAAGGGAAGATAGACCCAGAAAGGTTTATAGGGCAGCCCAGAGTCACACTGGGAACCGGCACAGCTGATCTCCTTCCGGAGGGTTTTGTCTGTATCCCTCATTCTCCCAGCGTGGGAAGGCAGTGCACTACCTGGCACCCAAACCATCCCTACACTTGAGAAGGGCATTTACTGCTGATCCCTACACAGCCCTGCACCCTGCTGCCCTCCTCCTGCCCTCACGCCAGCTCCCGGGATAGCTGTATATTTGAATACCCAGTTGCCATGTTAGGAAATCCAGCTGCACAGACAAGGGTATGAGGAAATGCATTCTGTGCAGAACACATTTCTTTCAGGCATTGTCAGGTGATGTTGTTTTGTCAAAGCTATAACTCACCCCTGAAATAAAGGGGAATGGCGACACCCAGGCCTGACTCATAGTGGTGGACGCGTCCAGCCTCCCCCAGCCGCCGAGCGCCACGGGCTCCACGGCAGGCCCGTCAGGGGGCCGCGAGGCCTGGCGTTTCCCTCGGCCCTGGGTGTGGGTTTTACGAGATCGTGTCTTTCATGATATCATAGCCCAACCATGTGAGAAGAAAGAGAAGGCCCCTTTTCTTCCCTAGTTGGAGAAAAAGGAAAGCTACAATGGGCTGATTTTTAAAAACTAAAGGACAAGCAGCACTGCATTCTGGGGGATGATGCTGGCCAAGGCCCCTAAACATTCACCAGGCCTCGTCTGTTTTCAGGCTCTTGTACATGGGTAATGTGGTAGGTACAGTTATTTTCCTCATTTTTATGTATGGTCACATTGGAGCCCAGAACAGTTAAGTCACTTCTCTCAGCAGCAGTTCAGTGGTGAGCCAGGTTTCAAAATCAGGTAATAAAACCATCAGCATTAACTGAGCACCGACAGTGTGCTAAGCACGTCCCACATATATCTTCTTGTATCTTCACAACAATGGAAGGTATGTGTCCTGAATGTGCCCATTTTACAGATGAGGACACTGAGGGAAAGGGACTCACACAGCAGCTCAGTGTGTGGCAGGGTTGGGGTTCTAGGGCTGGTCGATGCATGTTCTTTGCCAACTGCCTGCCTCTCAGTGGCAGCTCTAGACTTGGTGGCCACTGCTTTTATGCATTGTGGCCAGGCCACAAACTATCCACATAGAAGCCCCAAGAAGGCTTGGGGCCAGCTTGTATAAAGCCTAAATGCCATGCCTAGGAGTGGCCACCTCCAGTCATTTTTAAAACAAAGTTGAGTATAAATTAACAGAGAAAAGAACATTCTAAGACAGTTGGATTTTGTCCTGTTGGTGATGAGAGGCAGGGACGGTTTGTCGGGGAACTGAAGCCAACTCTACAGGAAACCTGACCCCTCCAGGGTTTTTTACCTATCTTGGGCTTTATCACATTTGGCCAAAGGTACTTCAAACAAGGAAGGGCCGGGACTGAGGAGGGCCTCGGTAGTGAAGGCAGAGGAAGCTGTCTCTGGTGTTTCTGACAACATGATACGTGAAGGGGCTTTGGCTGCCACCTCTGATTCCTCCCTAGAGATATCCAGTCCTTAAATGTAATCTGTGCTCTCTGGGGACGAAAGGAGGGAGCTTCTGTCTTGGGGAGCTTCTGTCTTGGGAGCAACACTAACAGTGAGGCTGGGGATTTGCCTGGGAGTGATTTGAGGGGCTCCTGCAAGCCCATGTGTTCCAAAGCATCTTGTCCTCTGTGGCAGCATTGGAACCACTATGGTGGCAGAGGGACACGGTGCTGGGTGGCTGTCAGAGAGCCCTGGATGGGAGTTGGGGAGCCCTGGTTGGAATCCAGCCCCACCTCTTGATGCTTCTCACTTCGGCAAGTTCTTTTCCCTACAGGTAGGGCTTTACCCCCCTCACGGCTGAGGACACACAGCTCGGTGAGGACAAGGGCTGCAGAGGCCCAGGCAGCTTCCACCTAGAGACAGGGACACCTCTACACACATTACCACAAAACCTCCCAGGAACCCCCAAGGTCGGCATTATTTTTCCCCATTACAGGTGATGAACCTCAAGTTCAGAGAGGTTAAGCAACCTGCTCAGGGTCGTGTCTGTTAACAAGTAGCAGAGTCAAGATTTGAACCAGGTCTGTTTTGATACCAAAGCTCCAAAGTAACTATTGTTAGGAATCTTGTACCCAGTGTTTTCTTTTTTGTTTTGGCTGCTGGGAAGCTCGAAGTCAAACTTTGAGATCCTTTTTAACAAATGTACCCAGTCTCCTGCTGAACTTGCTTCATCCTAGCTTTTTGCTTTTATCTTTACCCTGAACTCTTTATTTTTATTGTATTGTACTTTATCTATTTTTGTAAGTTGCCATGATACCTTTTTTGCAACAAGGTGGGATATAACTAAATAAAGACATGATCAAAAGTTTGATTTAAAAGTGCTGACTAAATGCTGTGGTCTGTATCCCTATCATAACACATACATGTAATAACTTTTAAAAACTATTTAGTTTGTTATAAGAACTGGCCTTGTTGCAACACTGTGGCGGAAACTAATCTGAATGATGAGCTATGCCGAGTCCAACGCAGGCCGAAAACTAGACCCCGCTGGGAAGAGGGGAAAAGCGAGTCCTTCCCAAAGGTGTTCAGACAGCACCTGGGCTCTTTCCCCACCGCCTGGCGCTGGCCACAGAGACAGAACTGCTGTGCGCACTCACTCCTGAGGCAGAATGTGGGGCTGACAGAGAGGTCAGAAAAAAAAGAAATGCCTTCCTGGGAAAAAGACAGTATCGTGTTATTGGGGAGAGGGCCTTGGACATCACTTGATCCCATGTGCCCAAACTCCCGTCCCTCACACTCCCGTCCCTCGTGCTCCCTGTTCATGATTCTTTTGCTTTTCCCTTTACCACCTGCAGGGTGGCTTACTATTCCTCTTTCAGATGAGGCCATTCTTTTTATTAATTTTTTTCTTTTTCTAGTTTTTTTTTTATTTTTAAGGAGGTATCCCCAGCGCCGGCGTCCAGATTGCTGGCGGGCTGGCGAGTCCTCCTTAAAATAATTTTATTTCAAAAGGAAGCTTTATAAGCTGGTAGCAAAACTAAACAAAAAAAACTTTAAAAGAATTTGTTAAGGAGGAAGCTTTATATTACAATAGCAAAAAGGAAGCCAGCGTCAACGACCACAAATATGCAACGAGCACGACCCGGGATTCGACACAGAAAACAAGCAGCACTGTCGCATCTGGCAGGGAACGTGCCTGCCGGGCCCCAGGCCCCGTCGCCCTTTGTTAAAAAAGAAGATTAGCAAGTGTTCAAGGGACAGAAGGGTAAAGTGGCAGCAAGTGGACATTGTTCCTGATGTAATCAGAGGGAAGGGGTGGAAAGGGACTCAACAGCCCTTTGCACAGTGGCTTAGGTACCACCAAGGAGCTGTCTAACCACTGGTGGGGGGACTTGGATTTAGATCAACTCTCCTCTCCCCCCACAGAGACCCCCACGGACACACTCAGTCGGCCAGGCTTTCCCTCCCCGGCCTCCCCGAGCTGTAGACCAGCTTCAGCAGAGCGCCTGCCTGGCCTGGGAGCTGGGCCCTGGCCCTGTAGCCCCTGGCAGGGACAGGAGTCCTGCTCCCCCCAGGACAGAAGCACAGTGCCACTCCACCGCTCCAGGGGCTGCTGACGCGTGTCCCTCTCGCCCTGCACACCCCACCGGGCTGACTCACGTCCTACGCAAGCCAAGCAGGGCTGGCTCTGGGTAACCTGGAGCACGGCCTCCCCCCTCGGGCCCTTCCCCAGCCTCAGCCCCAGCAGCCCTGCTCTGCATCTTCCCCCGCCAGGGGCCTTCGCAGCCCTCTGCCTGCTACACACCTGTACCTGCACCTACACGTGGCTGCCTCTCTGGTGTCATTCAGGCCTCTGCTGACATGTCACCTCCCCTGAGAGGCTGTCCCTTGAGGCTGTAAAGTTGACCCCGGTCACAGGTAAACTTGGTCTGTCTCTCACACTGGAATCTGAGCTCTGTCCCCACTTTGTCAGCACGGAGGAGACCTTCAACTAATTTCCGCAAACAACTGAGTGATCTACAGCTGAACTGTGGGCAAGTTCACACACGATCTCCTGAGCATGCCGCTCTGGGGTCATGGCCGCGGGACGGGCTACACTTCTTTCATTTATTCATGCAGCAGTATTTGTTGGGCCATCCCTAGGCAGGTTCCTCGCAGAAATCTCTAGAATGCAATCTCAGATCACTAAGGTTGGAGAGCGGAAAGGCTATTTCCAGTGACTTTCTTCATCCTGTAGTTCTACAAAAATGAGAAAAATCATCTTCAGGGAAAAACACCTGCCTAAAATCCCCACCCTGCTCTGCAACCAGCGACTTGCGCAGCTAAGAAAGCTGTGGCATTTCTGTCGTCTGTGATACTCTCACGGCATTTCATACAGCAGGCACGTGGCTCTGGGCCCCACGTCAGTGTTCCAGGCGACTCTATGGTGTGCAGGCCACAGGCCGCAGAGCTCAGTGGGCTCAGGGGCTGGACAGACTTATCCCTGACCCTTATCATCTGGGTGTGCCAGAAAGAGCAGTCATGTGGCTCATGTGATTTTGTAAGCCCCTTGCATGATGCCAGCACATGCTGGGTGTTCAGGAAGCGGCAGCTACTGCTAAGGTTGTGACCAGTTAATTCCCTGCTCAGAGAATCTGCCAGCTGTCTTGGCAGGCCTGCATGTCTCGCCTTGTGGGCTGTACACTGTGACTGATACCTCCTGTGTGCTGGGCTCAGAGGCACCCAGTGGAGCAGGTGTCCCTACCCCAAGAGCCTGCTGGGAGGTGGGAGGCCACATTCAACCACGTCCACTCAGTGTGCCCGCTGCGTGGAGAGCAAGGGGACTCCACGCACCCTGCTAAGGAGTGTGGCTTCTCCCGGAGCCACAGGAGTCACGAGCATTCCCACGGGCGCCACAGAGCGGCCAACACTTCTGACCAGCTTCCATGTCAGAGCAAAGAAGCTTCCTCTGGTCACCTCTAATGATGCGACTCTTGAGAGGGATGTCTCTGCCCTTTAGAATTTTCCCCTGGGACTTCAAGGCCCTAAAACCTCTCTTTGGCCACCATGGTGGCAAAGGAAGAAATCATTGGACCTATCCATAGGAACGACACCGTCTGAGCGTCTGCCCTTTGCCAGGTGCGGGGCTGAGTCCTCATGGCACTATGGCATTAAGTCCTCCCAGTGACCCTTGAAATAGGGACTGTTGCTGTCCACACTTCACAAATGGGGAAACTGAGGCCCATCAGGTATTCAACGTCACATCCCTGAAAGTGGCTGAGCTGCCACCCTCTCAGAAATGTCACGAATGGTCCTCAACCCCAGCACATGTTGACTCATGTGAGAATCACCAGAGAGTTTTAATAGATGCCAATGCCTGAGGGCCACCCCAGAGTCCATGGGAGTGAACACTGACATTTGGTGGGTTTTATTTTTTATTTTAATTTTTTAGAGTCAGGGTCTTACTCTGTTGCCCAGGCTGGAATACAGTATTGTAATCATAGCTCACTGCAACCTCCACCTCCTGGACTCAAGCCATCCTCAGCCTCCCAAGTATCTGGGATTACAGACAGGCACCACTGTGTCCGGCTAATTTTTCTATTTTTTTAAGTAGAGATGGGGTCTCGCTCTTGCTTAGGCTGGTCTCAAACTCCTGAGCTCAAGCGATCCTCCCACCTTGGCCTCCCAGAGTGCTAGGATTACAGGCGTGAGTCACTGTGCCCCACCTATGCTTGTAACTTTTCTATGACTGATGTTATGTCAAAGAATTAATAAAAAGTTAAAAAGAAAAAAGAACAAAGAAGCCTGTTTGGAGACTTTTCTCTAAAGCAGCTATTTTCCCTTAAGGAACTATTCATATGGTTGCCTCTTTAGCAAGCCTAGACCCTTCCTTAGCAGTTTCAGCAAACGTCCCAAACGTTCTGGAACAGACTAAGACTTATGAAGTCCTCATCCTCCAGCCATGCTATGCTGGTGGTGCCGCCTTCTAGGCAGATGAATTGGCAATGTCTGCTGCATGCCCCCTCCTGCCGGGCACATTTTCAAGCATCACCCCTGAATCCCCAGTGTTCATATCCACTCCTGGCCACAGTAAGAGCTCAGAGCAGGTGTTGTGGAACAGAAAGATTAAAATTTCTGATTGTCTTCAGGGGAATAGCAAGAGTTGGGACTCAGGGAGATTGGGGAGGAGCCCCCTGGCCTCTCTGGTGGGACAGGGACCCTCTTGCATGCACGAGCCCTGGACAAGAAACTC